CGAAGGCATTGATGCTGTTAAAGAAGCTCTGAGAGCAGGCTTGAACTGCTCCACAGAAACCATGCCCATCAAGGTGAGTGGCCGGTTTCCTCCTTTGGGTCCCCTGCCCTGCTCCACCCCAGGACAAATGAGATCTTTGTTTTGATTTGACTTTTCTTTCAAATGATCATGTCTCCTAACATAAAAATTTCTTGTTTGGTTTAAAACAAGAGACACGTTCCCCAGTAAACTGATAACGACTAGTTTAATCGCCGTAGGGCATACATTAGTCACAACTCTTTGCACTTGGGGTTGTAGTGGACTGGCTTTGCAACTGAACTAGAGCACCCTAGAGTCAGGTCTCCGGATCTGTGGGCTCCACATTCACGATTCAGCCAGGCAAGCAGAAGGAGGGCAGTTGTGTGGTCAAAGGCAAAGAGGGAGTACAATGTGCCCTTCGTTGCATTAAGGGTTACACACATCTAGAGATGATGAAAGCATACAGGATGAAGTGTGTCGGCTCTTTGCAAATGCTGCGTCATTTGATATCCAGGATTGCGCATCATGGATTTGGTGGCCACGGGGTTTTCTGGAACCACCCCACCACAGATGCCAGGGGACAGCTGAAGCTTTTACTGCATTACAAATAACCCCAAATCGCTGACCTACAGAATTTGGAGCTATAGTTTGGGATGATACAGGAGATTAACCAAACCATTCTTGGACACCTTTACTCACTGTCTGTTGAATAAGTGCATCCATGGTTGAATTTTTGTCTCTGCCCCTTAGATTAATCTAATAGCTCCTCCTCGATACGTGATGACTACAACCACCTTGGAGAGAACAGAAGGCCTCTCTGTCCTCAACCAGGCCATGGCTGTGATCAAAGAAAAGATCGAAGAGAAGAGGGGCGTCTTCAATGTCCAGATGGAGGTGCGATCAGCACTCTTCCCTCTCTGCCTTGTTCTTAACTTTTTAAAAAATTTACAGCATCTAAATGATTTATATCCGCAAATGCCTAACTATACTGCTTTTTAAACTGTTCTATACAATTAGGATTACAACTGCTAATATTTTGTCATTAGTTTAAAGGACTTTTATGCATAAATACAAGCACTTAGCACTGAACTGTCTCAAATGAGAGGACTTCAAAAAGTTCATAGAAGATGCAATTTTAAAATAATAGCCAAACACACACACATACTCCCCAACTTTTTAAAGCCCCCTTTTATACTGTGCGATGGTTATTTAACTATTGTAGTCACTGGTGTTACTAGGATTTTCTCCCTTAAAAAATAGAGATAATAAAAACTAGTCATCGTCAGTTTGAATATGGAATGCTTAATTCTGAGAGTCAGTCAGAAGAAGACTGTCTTTCCTCATATTCCCATGTCGTAAACCCAGTTAGGGGTGTGTGGCATGTGCGTAGTGACGCCCCCTGTGGAAAGCCACAGTAGTGGACTGATTTTGAGCCTGGCCATGCCTGTTGGCATCTTCGTTGTCCTCGGGGAATCTACTATTTGTGGGCATGCCCTAAAGATAATGTAGCTACCGAGGTGGTCTTCATGCATCTTTAGTTGCAGTGTGTGAAGATGGCAGGAAATAGTCATCCATTTTAATACACTTTTTCCTGTTATGCTTTTGGAATTTTCTAGTTATTAGTGAAATGTCGTCACTCAGAAATGACAAATAATGGCAGAGAAAGAAGGAAAGCGTGTTCTTGAGTTGAAAATACTAGAAGGTGGAGCTGAATTTGTGGCCCATGTTACTACTAAACTTTGAAATTTTGCCTTTGCGCCCCCAGCCCAAAGTGGTCACCGATACAGATGAGACCGAGCTTGCCAGGCAGCTCGAGAGGCTTGAGCGGGAAAATGCGGAAGTGGACGGGGATGACGATGCTGAAGAAATGGAAGCCAAAGCTGAAGATTAACTGGGAAACCGAGTGCAACTTACTTCAGGACCACAACGCAGCCCTTCCTGGCTGGACTGTGCAAACCCTAGACTTGAAAGTTTTCCAGTATTGAAAACTTCAAAGCCGACTATTTTTTATTTCCAAGTATTTAAATGCTCCAACAGACCAGAGCGTGAAGTGCCCTCCTAAGTGTCCGCTGGTTTCTCACAGCAGCTCCAACACATCGAGTGCTTTTTACAAGGGAGTGGCCTAATCTCATGAGAGGCAACGATCTTTCAGCCAAGAACAGTCCTGACATCATCAGGCCTGTGGTTTCCTTTTCTGACATCTCCAGATTGGCACCCTCTGTCGCTCAGTGCCTCCTGAGCCAGACTGAGGGCACCCAAAGCAAACAGTCCCATCTTTCTACAAAATGTATTCAAGCAAACATTAAATAAATTTCTGGGATATTTAACTGTAGGCTTCTTCCTTCCTGTTACTAGATAAGAGTTTTCGGGTTACCTGTGTTTTCTTTAGATGTGGAAACGGGCAGATGAGATGAGCAGCTTTTGATGTTTGCCGTGCCTTCTGAGCATCTTAAATTAGGGTTAATTTGGAAATTAAAAAAGACCTATTAGAAATGATCTGTTTAACATATCCTTTTGAAGGGAGAGTGTATTAAAGAAAACACTTCCAACAGCAGTGAATGCTGTGCTTTGGAGGGGAAATGTTGAAGTGAGTTGGGAGAAATGCATCCAGGGCGCCTTCTCCGTGCAGGCAGGCCCGGTTATGAGCCACGTGTACCCTCCACGCATTGCAACAAGTGCCGCCGGTCTCGTTTAATCTTTTTGTGCAGGAAAAGGTTCAGGCTACTTCGGTGGTTTAAAAGCAAGGGTATTGCCTGTATTTGAAATCATTGGCAACCACCTGTGATGTAAGGGAAGCTTTCACAGAAGTTCCTGTGATGGACTTCAAAATTGCTTGTCTCCGTGTGTGCTGAAGGCTTAGGGTGCGGGGTGCTGCTGCTTTGATTTCCTGATTTTGAGTATCTCACCCAGCTCTTTTTTTCTTCCTTACTACATTATCCAGTAGGTGCCACCTGGAGCCCCAGTCTCTGTACCTAACAGGCATCTGCTTGAACACAGTTGTCATGATCTTTCTGGTTTTTTAAGAGCTAAGGGTTTTAAAGGCTCATGTCTGTAATGAGTTTTATAGAAAACACGTTGACATTCTCACAGTAAGGGCAGAGGAAAGGCAAGTTCAGTTCTGTTGGACCAGCTGTTTAAATACTTAGAAGATTAAGTGCAACCCACCCTAGTAAATCCAGCACTAAAATGGGCTGGAAAAGGAAAACGTGGCTTGGTGAAGGTTTCTCCCTTTTTAAAAGTTTAGCAAACCTATCACTGCGTCCTGCACTCTTGTGACTGGTCTACCTACCACATTAAGCATTTGGAGAATCGGGGTATGATCAATTTATGATTTTGAACCTGGCACCTCATTTTACTCTTGTCTCCCTGAGATGAGAGCAAGTTTATGAAGATCGCAACGTTACGAAGTGTTACCAAAATCAAGCAGGTGTTTTCTCTGTGGAAGGGTTGTTTTATACTTCAGACGCTGTGACAGTTGGGAACTCTGGGAGGTAAACACTATCAAGCTTTTTGTACAGTTCACGAAACAACTGTTTACACTGTCTGACCCTTGCCAGATAGCCACCAGCGCCTCCCTAGTAGCATGCAGGGGAAAACAAACCCCACACGAGTACCCTGCCGACCCCCCAGCTCTGGAGAAGAGGGCAGGTAGAAAGTTGAGCAGTTGATCCTAATCAGGAATCTACCCCCCCTTTAAAGCTTTTCACTGTGTGTTAACAATTTCATGCACTCTACAACTCTGCTCCTGATGGTGCCATCAAATACATGCCTCTTGTCGCTACTTTTATTCATTCCAAAGCAAGATGGAGGCGTGTTCGGTGTCACTCCAGAGAGCTGCCGTGAGACTAGCACTCCACTCAGTGTCCGGGGGTGGCGTCACAAGGGGAGCCTGCTTCGGTGCTGGAGGACAGGGCTGTCCGTGCTGGCTGGCAGCAGTCAAGATGTCGATGCCCAGTGGCGGGTCCAGCCTGACAACGGGAAGCTGCGCAAGAAAGCGGGGCCCCTGCTGCCTGAAAAGGAGGGAAGCACCAGTCTCCCTCCAAAGGCCTGACACATGAACCCAGCGGTAAGCTAGCTCCTTGTAGGAAGTCAGCACTCCCATCCTCCAGGAAAACCCTGCAGGGGGCCTCTGGAAGCAGCAAGGACTCCTGTCCCCCACCCCCAGTCCCTTGCCAAGTTCACGTGAGATGCTTGATGGCTTCGATCCACTCTGAGCGCTCAGCCTTGCTGCTGGCCTGAATGTAGTAGTGAGTGTCATCCTTGGTAATCACTTTGAAGAGATTTCCCTGGACGTTCCCTTTAACGCCTAGGTAGGAAAAAAGAAATCAGAAAAGCATTCACTCTCACAAGCACGTAGTGAAGCGATCCTTGAATATGAATGGACAAGGTAAGGGAATCCTACCAGATGCAAGCTTTCCTTTTTCCTCACAGCCCCCGACTTGAGTCCTAAGGTCCCCCAGCGATGTCTGGACATTCCTCAGAAGCCCCCTTGCCACCTCTGTACTAGCCATAGCTCTACAACCAGTCGTGCATGTGGGTTTGGCGTGTTTAATGTTTAAAAGCAGGAAAGGTGAGTGTCTTCAACACATGAAAACCCTGGTCATCTGTACAAAATGGGCCACAATTTGTGTCAACCTGGCAGCTGACAGGAAACCATCGAGTTTGGCTTTGCATTGTTTGACTTCCCTGAATGTCAAGGTCCACATCTATAAAATGGGATAGTACGATTAGCCTACATTAGATGGAAAAAGATAAAAATTTTAAAAGAAGAAACTTATAAAATTGATTGTAATGATGATTGCACAACCCTTTGAAATAATTTTAAACCATGGAATGGTATGATAGGTGAGTTATATGTCAAACTATTAATTGTTTTTAAAGGAAAATATTAGATGAGCCAATAGGTATGAAAACCCAAACCCACTGCCTTCAAGTCAATTCTCCGATCAACCCTACAGGGCAGAACCGAACGTGCCTGGCTTTCTGCAGGTGTAACTACAAAACAGCCTCATTTTTCTCCCATAGTGCGGCCGGTGGGTTTAAACTGCTGTCCTTTGGGTTAGCAGTGAAATGCCTAATCCACTGCATCACTGCCTACCAATAAAACCTCCTGTCATCCAGTCAATTCTGACTCATGGTGGCACTACAGGACAGAGTCAAACTGCCCCTCCGGGAATCTGAGACAAAAAATTATTTTCCACCTCATCTTTCTCCCACTGAGGTGAAGGGTTCAAACCACTGACCTTGCAGGTTAGCAGCTCAGTTTGTAACCCACCATACCACCAGGGCTCCTTAGTAGAATATTATGTAACTACCTTCACTATTGTTCTTGCTTCCTTAGCAGCCAGCAACTGTACAGGAGAGTGTGGGGTGCACTAAAGACATGCCCGTTCTCTCATTCTGAAACTGGTTTCAGAACATGCCACGCTGTCTGATCAAGCAAGTTCTCTTCAGCTCCCAAAGCTCAGCCCTTCCGTACTGGAGCATTAGTGAGCGAGAAGGAAGCAAGCCCGAGCCGGAAGTGGCACCTTACCAGTGGGGACGCCATTGTCCTCCAGAGCAGACACAAGGGAGCCACGAAGAGATAACCCACCAACCGGCCGGTTGTCTTCCTGCAGGGGAGGGGACATCTCGTTAGGGCTTTTGTGGCCGCTCTCTCCAATAACCAACCACATTTCATCAGGCCAACTGAAGAACTTGGTTATGTTTATTCCTCTTTGTAATTGAACATGAGGCTGGACTTGAACTTGACATGCTCAGTGCACATGCCCCAGGAAGGAAGGAAGTTCCTTATTTCCCCATCACCAGCTTCAGTGCTCACCACAGCAGCCGTTACCAAGTCTTGTTGACTGAAAAATGGTCTGCTTGGCATTCCTGAAATGCAGCCAGAGAGCCCCTGACCCCAGCCAACACGCCCAGGAGACGCCCACTGAACTGTGCTGAAGACTGCAGAGCCCCTCCCTCACCTGCTGTGGCACGGTTGGCCCAGCACCGTCCTTTTGTGTCACCAAGTTGGTCCCAACTCACAGGGACCCTATAGGACAGTGTAGAACTGCCCCATAGCACTCCCCAGACTGTCGTCTGCGTGGGTGTAGACTGCCACATCTTTCTCCCGTGGAGAGGCTGGTGGGCTTGAACCGAAACCCTTACAGTTGGGAGTCGAGCAATGTAACCAGGGCTCAACCAGGGCTCAGGGCAGAACCTCATGCCAAGAAGGAGCCTCCGGGGGAGACACCCCCACAGCCTGGAGGGCTCAGCTGAAACCAGGAGACGTGTGACATGGACATTCGGGCCAGGGGTGGCCTGTCCAGGAAGCACAGGTGAGCATATCCTGCAAGCAAGGCCAGAGAGAGAGAGAGAGGAAGGTGGGGGGAGGGGGAAAAGAAGGAGGGAAAGGGAGGGCAAACCAGCCAGAGAGCAATGGGAGCCCCTGGTGTCTCCAGAGGGAGCCCCGGCTGAGGCAGCGGGAGGAAAGCTGGCAAGGCTGGCCGGGGTAAGAATGCAAAGCGGAGCCCTTCTAAAAGGGCTTGAGGTGGCCACCACAACCCACCCTGGGCAGAGGTCGGCCAGTGCTGTGTGATGCTCAGGTGGCTGAACCCCCAGGCAGCCCACGTGCGAGGGCCCTCCAGGCCCCTGAGCCCTCTGGGTGGTCTGGCAGGGGCTCAAATGGCCACCCACTGTGTTCCTACACAGTTTCCACTGTTTCAAAGGACGGATGAAAACCTCGTCTCGAGCAAGACAAGCCTGAGCAGCCTGACTGGAAAGGCATTTTTCTCCCCTTTGCCTGGAATCAGACCGACTCAGCAGGCAGGAAGACTTGCTATCTGAAACTCACTCGGAAAAGCAATTCTTGGGTCTTTTTTTTTTTAAACCAAGAATATAAGTTCTGGCTTGACTGCCATAACTATGTGGCAAAGAAACTTCTCAGGAGCTAGGCGAGGAGACGGGGTTCAGGGGGCGGCGCTGAGGGGCTCTCAGCCAGAAGAGGGGAGAGGGTGGCAGTACTCGCTTGGGGCCTCGCTCTAGCCACCCTGCTCCTTGGGGAATCTGAAAGATGCTTGTTCTCTAGAAATAATGATGATGATCCCCACCCACTGGAGGAGGAGGAGGGGACCAAGAGAAGCCACTGGCCCGGGGACTCAGAGGGGTGAGCTTGTTGTGGGCAGCCAGGGCGGTGGACAGAGTGGCCAAGTGGACGCTGAGAAGAAGGAGGGGGGCCACAGCCAGTTGCTGTGGGGGCAGCGAGGGAGCCTGGGGGGGCCTCTCACCTTGGAGGGGTCGTAGTAATGCAGGAAAGCCGGGTCCTTCCTCAGGACAAAGCGCCGCACCTTCCAGTTTTTCCTCTTGTGTCCCTGAGGCCGAGAAAGGTTGTGGGCTGGTGGGTGACAGCTCCCTCGGGCCCTCCCTCGGGCCTCCATGCCAGCCTGCTCCTGCCCAGCCCCACTGCCTCCTACAGACAGCCCTGGGGACCGAGAGCTCATTCCGACTCCTAGCCCCCTTATACGACGGAGCAGAACGATCCCAGAGGGTGACTCTGTCCGGTACGTGTGGGATCGCTAACATCAATGTCGGAGGTTCAAACCCCCCAACCACTCCACGGGAGAAACAGAAGGCCGGCTGCTCCCGTCAAGACCCGCGGGTCCGGAAACCCCGGCAGGGTCACCGGGTGTCAGAACGGACTCGATGGCAGTGGGGCTGGGGTTGAAGCCCTACAGGAGCAGAGGGCCACGTCTGCCTCCCGTGGGTTAGCAGCCCCTCCTCCTCCCTGGTTCCACCAGTCTCCTTCACCCTAAAACCCAGAAGCAGCAGTCACTGCCATCCAGCCCAGTGGGACGCACAGCAGGCCTCAGACAGAGGAGCAGAGCTCCGTCTGCGTTCACAGACCAGCAGATCGATCGCCTCATCTCCCCCCACTCCCATCCCGAGAGGCCAGTGGTCTCACACTTCTGACCTCGTGGTGCGGAGCCCACCACGTGCCACTGTCCCACCCGCCCAGTCACCCTCAGAGCAGGCTGCAGAAGCCCCTAGGGTGGCAGTCTCATGAGAAGGCTGTCCAGCCATCATCCCCTGCTCAGGGACACTTCAGCAGAAGCACTGTCGGATTTCTTAGAAACCAAGGAGTGAGGCGCATCCGTGCTGAAGGAGGGGGTGTGCTTTCGGGGCATGAAGGAGAACGGGAAGCAAAGGTGCCCCCCGGATTGCGAGCTTGCTGGAAATGACCTCGTAAGGGTTAGGGACTCTCAAATCCAGGAACAGAGCGGGTATGCATTGAGCTGCTGACCATAAGGTCCGCAGCTTGAACCCACTAGTGCAGCTGCTCTCAACCTGGGGGTCGCGACCCCTCTGGGGGTCAAACGACCCTTTCTCAGGGGTCGCCCGACTCATAACAGTAGCGAAATGACAGTGATGAAATAGCAAGGAAAATAATTGGATGATTGGGGGGGTCACAACCACATGAGGAACTGTCTGAAAGGGTCGCGGCATGAGGAAGGTGGAGAACCACTGCTCTAGTGGATGAGGTGGTTTACACCCCAAAGATTTAGTTTCAGAAACAGAAACCCAAAGGCGCAGCCCCACTCCGTCCTGTAGGTTTGCTGAGTTGATGAGTTGGCCTGCTGCTGCACTAGGTGTGCACGCCCAGGGGTACAGGCAGACACAGCGAGACCACACTGCCAGGCATGTGCAATGCGCACTGCCAGACGCATGAGCAACAGTGCATGCTAAAACCTAAAGGTGTCTGAGGAGACCAACGTGTGTGTGCACGTGTGTGTGTGTGCCTGTCTTTCCTTCACCACCTGTGGCACAAACCTCCATTGTTAGCTTTTCTCTCTGGAGCCCCCACGGCCTCCTCCCTCTGCTCCAGGTGCCCCCCTGCCTCCCTTGTTAGGATTCCTGTCAGGCCAGCAGACACAGGACCCCAGGGACAGACAGACTGCTGCGTTATGGTGACTAATCAGAGGGCAGATGGGGCCCTGCCATCAGGAAGCAGCTGACAGCTGAGCACGTGCTCCGAGTCACCATGGGCGGGCACTAAGCTGGGGCCCCGTCTGTCGGACAGACACACACTGCATAGCACATCCTCGTGGCAGGATGCAGTGACCGTTGCTGCTGGCCCCAGACTCACTGGATGCCTGCCATGGTGCACACTGTGAGGAAGCAGTGTGCCGGGCCTTTCTTCTTTGGGGCTGCTTTGGGGGAGGGGAGAATGCCAGCTGGCAGCCTTTGGGTTACCAGCCAAATGTAAGCCACTTGTACCACCTTGCGCACCTGGGCAAATGCTGCAGGTGTGACTGTGGCCAGGTGTGCCTGGTGAGCACAAGGTGGAGGGGCATGGCCATGCCAGTTTTTAAACATCAAGCTTCTACTTTGGAAGTTGAGCTTCCATGGATGGAATTGGCGATACCCTTTCCAGACAGATACTTGGAACTGAAGCTGATGTAGAACTTGTTGAGGATGTTGTGACCACTGCTAGCGGGCATGTCTTTTCCTGGACAGCTGGGCTGGCAGGTGTGATTGAGACATGAGTGTGTGCACATGCCTGCTCTCAGATCTGCGGCTGGTGCTGGCCCCTGACTCAGGACACCCTGCTGGCTGGCCATTTGTGAGCTCTAGGGAGCTGTGGCCCTCCCCTTCCTTTGGGGTCCTTCTACCTCCCCCCGAGTTGGAGAGCTGTCTTCCTCCCTGCTCACCAGGCAGCATACCTGCTTGGCCAGATAGCCTTGTTTGACCACCATGCCACTCAGCTCCACGGTGCTCAGGCTGATTTCTTCCTTGGGGCTTATCTTCTTCTTGTAGCTCTCAGCCTAGTGGGAAGGAGAGAGAGTAAGGCGTCTGCTAAGGCAAGGCCCAGGCCCGCATTCTGGGGAAATGAAATCGTTCAATACAGAAACTCCACTCTCATTCTGGGGAAATGAAGTCATTCAATACAGAAACTCCGCTCTACCTCGGGCTGACGCTGTGTCCCAACACCCAGGCACATGCTGTGGATTGAACTGTGTCCTCCCAGAACGTGTTCTGAATCTAAACCCTCTTCCTCTGGCTGTGAGCCCATTGAGAAAGGGGTTTTCTTTGTTAGGTTAAGAGGGCATGTCAATGTAAGCCAACCACCGTTGAAATATGCAAAGAGTCAGCCAGGCCTCATTCAGATAGCAGAGATGGGAGGAGACAGACGCCAAGGGTCCTGGGGGAAAAGCCAGGATGTTCCTTTGAAGACTAAGGTGTACGTGACCCAAACCACAGTATTTTCAATCGCCTCATGTGCATGCGAAAGTCGGCCATTGAATAAGGAAAACCAAAGAGGCAGCGGTGCGTTTGAATTATGGTGCTGGTGGAGAATCCTGAAAGTCCCCCGACTGTCAGGAGAACTAGCTATCTGTCTTGGAACAAGTACAGCCGGAATGCTCCACAGAGACAGAGATGGCAAGATTCCATCTCAAGCCCTTTGGACACTGGTCCCTGGAGGAGGACATCCTGCTTGGTCAAGCAGAGGGCGGCAAGAGAGGTCCCTCAGTGAGATGGACGGACCCAGCGGCTGCCACAAAGGGGGGCGCAGGACCAGCCAGTGCTTTGTTCTGTTGTACAGAGGGTCGTGATGGGTCGGAACCCACTTGAGGGCACCTAACACCACCACCACCAACCACCTGGGCATCTCCGAGAACCAGGAAACAGAAGCTGAAAAGAGACCAGAACCTTCCTTCAGAGCGGACACAGAAAGCCTCCCCTAGAGCCAGCGCCCTGATCTCAGACGCCTCACCTCCTAAACGGCTCTGAGAAAATGGATTTCTATTTGCTAAAGCCGCCAGAACACTGAGACGCCCCTGGCCCGGCACTGTAGGGCACACCGCCCCCTCCGCGCCGCCCGCTTGACTTACAAAAGTGTACAGGGCCGTGGAGTCATCCAGGAACTGCTCCACCAGGTCCCCCGAGCGGATGGCTCCCATGCTACGGGCGCCGACCGGCCTGAGGAAGTTCTCCTCCATGAGCATGGACGCCAGGGTCACCGCCTCCAGGCGGCTGGCCGCGAAGCTGTTGGAGATGAGCCAGTCCACCAGGGAGGAGCCTGCGTCAGGGCAGGGGCAGCACCTGTCAGGCAACAGGCTACACACTGGCCTGGTCTCCTCGGGGTGCATGGCCGTGACCTCAGTGGCCTGGACCTCGTGAGCAGGCCCTGGGGTTCTAACCAAGAACAGGCTGAGGACCACACCCCTGCTGAGCCCCAGGGCACCCCGGCCCAGGCCCCCGCCCTATCCCCTGGTGCCCAGAGAGGGGCAGGCTCACCGAGGAAGGTCTTTTTGTACGTGCTCCCCTGCTCCATGTTGGGGCTCGGCCTGATCCCACAGCTGCTGTCGTGCATCTTGTCCACGATGCGGCTGCACAGCAAGAAAGGGAGACCCTCGTCACCCCGGCAGGCCAGAGGGGGCGTCCGGGAGTCACCACATGGGGAGGAAGCACGTGGAGTGAAGGGAGAGGGGCATCGCAGACCAGAGACTGGGGCATTTCTTTTCTTCCTCTTGCTCGTCTAAACTATCTCTGTGCTGAAACGACGTCAGTGTCGAGACTAGACCCAGACCCCAACCACTGCCGGTGACTGGATTCCGACGCGAAGTGAGCCTCGCGAGCCTTTCTGATGCTGCAGATCGCGATGGGAGCACACCGTCTCCTCTTCCTCCCGAGGAGCAGCAGGTAGCTGGTAGGTTTGAACTGCTGACCTTGAGGTTAGCAGTCCCCCACTTCTCCAACAGCACTCTCGGGGTTCCTTAAAACCCAAGACAATTAGCTTAAAGACTGCATGGAACCCGCCGTGCTCCTCCATGATCGACTGCAAGAAGTCAAAACCTGTCCAATGAATTCGAAGGCGCCCTGCTTTCCTTCTGTTCGAGGGGACAGCAACTGCCACCAACCAATGGTCCTCTCCCCTTTCCTCCTGTGTCTGAGAGCCGGAAGGGCCCTAGGTGAGACCGTGGTTAGTCTGACCTGCAGCTCCTGAGCACCTAGCACTTCGCATGGCGTGTAACCAGCACACAGGAAGTGCTTCTTGGGAGAAGGAATGAAGGGGGCCCGGAGCGAGAAGCTGCTGGCTACCAGAACACAACATTCTTGCCGCCAGGCTGAAAACAAGAGCAGCGAGTCGGTAGGGGAGGGTCCGGGGAGCTCTGGTGCAGCTCTGAGCAACGTGGCTGGAATGGAAAGGGGCCGTCTCGAGTCATTGAGTAGGGCCTGGGCCATAGACACCCCAACATTTGCACGGCAGTGGGTAGTGTTGTTCTGGTAGAAAACAAATGATACCATTTGGCTTGTGTGGTTCCATCAGAGACCCCCCCAAGAGAGGCCTGTCTCTTCCCATCCACTCCCCGCAGATAGAAGAGGCTGCAGCACAGCTGGGTATCAGAAAGGTGGGAGTGGGTGGGCACTCACTGCAGGCTGATGTGAGGGGGCAGCTTGAAGGAGTTTTTCAGTATGTGGAGTTGCTGGACCTTCCCTGGCTGCCCGGCGTGAATGGCCCCCGTGATCTCGAAGGCCCACGCATCCCTTTCCTCTCGAGAACAGGCCTCCAGGAAGTACTCGGTGGATGTTCGTGTCTTCAGCTTAATGAGCAGCTGTGGGAAAAGACAGTCAGCCGGGCAGCCAGCAGCCTGGGAAGGAGCCCGGGAGAGGGTGCAAGACAGCAGAAAGCCCGGGCCCTGCCCCAGATCTAGGAGGCTGTGCACGCCACAAAACGGCAAGAGCCTTTCTTCATGGACTGTCTTCGTCGTCTGAGGAACTGAGCCTTAGCTCCTCAGGGCAGGGCCTTCTCACCAGCCCAGCGGCAAACCTGAAACCGTATAAGGGAGCCCCATTGTAGCAACTTGCAAAGGGGTGGATTCTAGCCTGTCAATCAGGTCACAGCTTGATGACCTCACTTGGAGGCGCCATGGAGATAAATAGCTCACTGGAGGCCAGGTACACTGACTCCT